ACATCTACCACAGGAGGCTGAGGCGGGAGGATGGCTTGAGCCCAGGAGTTAGAATGGGGCTAATATCTACCTCACAGGGATGCTATGACCATGAAGGTTAACCAGCACATCATCTTCCCCAAATATGTCATTGTTCCTTCTCCACCCCTTTAATAATCACAGACAATACTATGGTTACCATGAGCTATGATCACACACCGCTGCACTCCAGCCTGGGCAACAGAGTGAGGCCACATCTCAAACAAAACAAAACAAAACAGCTACCAAGAGATCAGTCCAAGACTAGGTAATATAAAGGTAATACGAAAACACAAGATCTGGTGCCTAAACTTAAATAGGTCACAGTGTTAAGAAGGCAACACTCACAAACATGAAATAATCAGAGAGCAGTGAAAAATGAAAGTATAGAACTTTGTATGGGCTTGAACAAACAAAGATCGTGAGGAATCACACCAGCAACAGAAAAGCATTTCTCCTCAGAAGTTAGGGAAACAGTCCCTGCACCATCTGTGACTATTAAAGTGGATGGAACAGAAACAACAACGCGTTTGTGGCAGACGATGTGCTGGTTAACCTTCCAATGGTCATCAGACCCCTATGAGGTAAATACTGTCCCCATTCTACAGACAAGGAAACCGAGGTTCATGCTTTAGGGAAGTTACTTAACCACTGTGGTCTCAGTTTCTTCATTTGTAAAATAAAGAAACTGTCATAAATCAGAAGTTTTCAAACTGGAACCTGGAAAGCACCAGCGTTTTCTGGCACTGACTCAAAACCCTAAAGCGGGCAGGGGCCTGAGGCCAAATGTACCAAATCCTCTGGTCAACATCTCAGTACTCATTTCCTCTACAATGTTTTGCCATTATAACCACAACACTGGGAACGGTACCTAGTATATAGTGAGAAGTCAATAAAAAAATTTAGGAAGGAATGAATGACATAGATGGCACATCACAATTGACTCTAAGCTGACTCTCATTCATGGTGGCTCCTTTCCTTCTATGTCCAGCAATGTTTTTGTTGTTAGCATATTCAGAGCTTTTAATTAGTGGGCTGAGGGTAGCCTTCCTCCAGAGGGTGTTTGCATTTATTTCTGCCAAGTCCATCTGGGCATAGCCAACTCAGAAGTATTTAAATTAGTCTCTCAGCTTGGGGGTTACCAGACCATGCAGGTAGCATAAATTCAAATCCCCAACCCAATAGTCTCAAGAGAGACTTTTTATTTCAAGTTAAGAAGCAGCCCACTCACTTTGCTAAGGAATATTTCAGAGGCTTTTTGTTTGTTTTCCAGCCTAGCCTTCATCTGGCCTCCCCAAGACCCAGGCCCCAGCCCTCGGTGCTCACTTACCACTCTGGTTTTAGACCTTCTTTCTCTCACCCTTTGGGAACACTCATTCCTCTTTCTTTCTACCATTTGTGGATTGCTGTCACTTTCTTCTGACAAAAATTTTTAAGTGATATTTGTTGTATCTTTCTCAGTATTTCCAAGTTTTTATACCATGAAGGTTTTCCTTCTTCTATCACTTTGAGACAGGGTCTCTCTGTTGCCCAGGCTGGAGTGCAGTGGCATCATCATACCTCACTGCAACCTCCAACTCCTGGGCTCATATCCTATCACTTTTCAACTTCAGATGTGCTTTAGAAACCATCCCTGAGGTAAGCAAGAGCTGAAACCAGATAAGTAGGCAGAGGGGAGAACATCCCACAGACTCCCAGAGTGGGTAAAGAAAAAAGAGAGAGGCTAGAACTAGCTGGAGAGGAAGAGGCATTGACATGCAAGGAAAAGGCCTGTAGGGACAGAAGGCGAGAGGCAGGAGTTATTTCATAATGTCAAGACAAATCTGCATATCAAAAATTAGTTCTGAAGGATGACTGGTAAATAAATGAAAATAATGATTATCTTTACTGGTATTTCCACCAAGAAGATAGTTTAAGAATACAGTATTATCACTTGTGTATATAACTCACCCAAAAAAAGCACAAGCACATTGATACAAAGTTAAATCAAATTCAAGAGGAGATAGCACATAGGAAGAAACCCCACATAGAAAGATACAAGGTGAATGAAGGGGATGTTCTGTTACTGGAAACAAATTAACAGCTGTGCATACTAAAGTCATTAAGATTCAAAGAACAAGCCAACTCTTGCTACATTTTACACAAAAATTTTGTTATACAGATTGGAGAATAAAGAAACCACCACCAAAGGCTTGGAATCATTTATTATTCTAATTGAATTATTACTGAATGTAGCCAGACATAATGCTTCAAGATTTTTTTTAAAGTATTTCCTTTTATTGTAACAATAAGCACATGCAGAAGATAGTTACAAGTTGGCAAAATGAGGCTCTCTCTCAGTGAAGCCAGATAAGGATCCACAGCACCACCAGTGTATCTTAGCACGTGCAGACCCTTATCTCTATAGATTTTCATGTAATGTTCTGTACGTGAAATAATTAAAAGAATTCTAAACAGAGAAAGGGTTGACATGAAACAGGGTTCATCAAGAAATATCTGTGTTCCTATAGGATCCAGATGCCTGCTTCCCACAGGTGTCATTACGATAACACTAACAAGAATAAAAAGCATCAGGGAAAATTCAGTTGATTCGGGAATACTGCCGTGCCCTAAGTAGTTGCAAAAATATAACATGAGAAAGTTAACTACAGAATTTAAATCTCATAGCTGTTCTTCCCAGAAAATAGTGTCACCACAAATAAGAGTAGACACTGAGTAGCAGGAAAAAAGATAATGATCCAAACCTTCCCTTAAACCACATTTGAATTAAGGGCTATAATCATAGCTGGAGATAATGAACATGGGTTTGGGTTTTGGCAATGATTTATATCATCCAGCTTCTCAGAAGGGATTCATAAGCTTTTAGAAATAAAAGATTAGTTCTCTTTTCTTCAAGTTCTTATACTATAATCTTAACATCTTAAATAGAATAGTATTTGTGTACCTAAATTTGGAGATACTCAGCTTGGCCTAGGACTAAACACAAAAGAAAAATTTACTGGAGTTAGTGAGAAAAGGTTATAGAACCAACAAGCATAAATTCAATGGAAGTACTTAATGAATAATGAATATGTGCTGTTAATTTAAAGAATCTGTTAAAAACATGACTCTTTCCAAGGAAAATTTAAAGTATCTTATTAAAAGCACATACAAAATAACATTATTTATAATAACTTTTAAAAGGAAAAACAGAATTAAGAAACAGAAGACTGCAAAAATGTTAACACTAAGCATAAAAAAAACTTGGCCTTGAGTATGCTTGTGATGAGGACAAAGAGAGAATCGGGATGGATTACATAAATCTTATTATCAGAAATGAAGAAACTTATTAGTTAGCCAGGAAAGATGTTTTTCCTAATATTGAATTTTTAAGGAAATTCACCAATGAAGTGCTATAGAAGAACCATCAGATAAAGGATAATGACTATAACAATTTCACCAAATGCAGAAACAGGATCTACAATTATTTCCTATAGTCAACATGAATAGAAGCTTAACATTAATGAGTAACTCAGTAAAAACAATTATTTTAGGGCTAGGGTAATGTGGTCCAAAACATGCTATGAATAGAACAGACAAGAGAACATGTCCTTCCCCTTCTTCATAAAAATCATAACTCTCAACGAGAATATTAACAAACAAGCTAAGGGCTCTAAGGCTCAACACTGCATCTCCCTGTTTACCTGTGTGAATTGTGACCACCTGTCCCTGTCATAACTTTAGGCTGATGGAAGGATAAAAACCAGAATGGGAAGAATACTTCACTATTTAGGCCAGTTCTATAAATAAAAAAAGGCAAGAATATCAACCTAGGAGTAAAGTCTGAATTACCTGTCTCAGATACCCATAAAATGCATGGAAACAAATGAGATGCTATTTCTTCTTTTTGAATATCCTGCCTTTTTAATATCCTTCCCAGAATACCCCACCCCCAAGGTAAGGCAGCTGATTTGGCCCCATATGATAATCCATTCCCCTCGTACCTGCCCAAGGAAATGGGAGCACAAAGGCTACAAAATGGCTATTTTTCCTCAGATTTAGCGTATCTGCTATTCATTTCTTTTTAAATAAAATTGAAAAAAAAATAAAGACCAACTAAATTTATTTATCCCTCCATCTGTCCACCTATTCACTCACTGTACAAACATTTTAGTCCCTAACAACCCAGGCTACACAGTGGGAAAACAATGAATAAAACAGCTTTTAAATAGACAAATGTATTACTTTTTTTCAAATGTATAACTTTCTCGTTTACATGACAAATGACGACGTCTTTGTCTCCCAATTTAAACAGTTAAAATGTGTACTGCAAGGTAAGAATGTATCTTTCAAGCACCATTAGAATGTAAGATTGTCTCCTGCAAACTGAAGGTGGCTCAGGGCCTCAAATACACAACCATACCTTCAATTAATCACCCAACTACAGCTGCCATCATACGGACAGCCAGGCCTTCAGTTCTATCTCAACAGCCCGCAGTTTTCATAGCTGCGGAGGCACTGAGGCAGGGTCTTATTGAAGGTGGATATCAAATTGTGTAGGGATGCCTTCTAGCTGGCTTTCTCCTTTGCCATGAAGAAGTTTTTAATCTCACTGAAGAATTTCTATAAGAAACTGAGCTTCATAAGAAAAATAAAATCTATATTCAGGCAGCCATTTGCTCCAAAAAGCTAAGAAAATGGATTCCTGGTGAAGAAAAATGAAGAAAAGATAACTTTAAGTAAGCAAGAAGAAAAAGGTAATAAATAACCAGTTGAAAATATTGAACATAAGAAAGCAATAAAAAAGATATAATGGCATAGAAGCATAGTATCATGCACTTGGCATGGCTTCAATTATTCATTTTATAACGCATAACATTTCCTTTCTTTAAATGCATTCACATTACATTCACACTGAGGCTCAACTCACAACAGCATTCAAGTTGATAAATAAAAGGAAATGGAGATAGAATATTTGAGAAATACACAATTTTCTTGCTTACCAAGTCCCCAGTGTTTGAGAAAGCGAAGCCCTCACATCTCAGTGACACATCTCCTGTCCATCCAGATGGCTAACACCTCACACTTAGGTTGGTCACAAAGCAGCATCACCTCATTTCACAACACCATTCTGAAGTAACAGCCCTCTGGTCTAGGGAGTGACTGCCTAGGCAGAGAGGTTCACATGCTGAATTCCAAGCCAAACATGGATCAAGTGTTCACAGCTGTCTGCTGTTTTGAAAACTTCTTGGAAAGAATGAATAAGTCTGCTGTATATCTCAGTAAGAATATGGGGGACCTACACCATCCTGGGGGAAGAGGAGAGACAGGCCAAGGATACTTTTCCAATTATGTTATTGTTAAATGACGGGCCTAGAAGAGACAGAATCTGTTTTCCTTCTTTTTTATAATAACATAACTATCTGAAGTTAAAACTAGATGAAGTCATTTGAAACTAATTTTTGCAGAAGTTAAGCCATGTGTTAAAGACCTTCCTCGTTAATGTATATATATATCATATATTTAGACCAGAAAGTATCTTTCAAATGTATTACTACCAAACACAGTATTACTGTCTCTTCCCATAATATTAAGATCAGAATTTAGCAATCAAGGGCAAAGAACATATCTTCTTTCATATCATACTTGAGTTAAAATCATGGATAAGTACTAAAGCAGTTTATCTGTAAATTTAACAGTATATTTTGAAAGTTTAAACTAGATGGTAGAAAGCATATGTGATTCAAATCCGGAATAATTATTAATTGTTCCAGATTATCAAAAACTACAGCTAGTATTCCGGATCCTCACAGAGTCTGCGTAAGGGAATGCTGGCCTCACTCAGGCAAGCTCCCTAAATAAAGACTGTGACTTATCTCTGAATTTCCTTACTTTCATCAGCCCTACCACAGTGCCCTATATATAGGAGGCCCTCCAGAAGGACTTATTCAATTAGGTGTTTGGTGGGGTTTTTGTTTAAGAGACAGGGTCTCAACTCTGTTGCCCAGGCTGGACTGCAGTAGCATGATCATAGCTCACTATAACCTCAAACTCCTGGCCTCAAGAGAGCCTCCCATCTCAGCCTTCCAAGTAGCTACAACTACAGGCACGCAACACTACACCTGGTTAATTTTTTAGTTTTTAGTAGACACAGGGTCTGGCTACACTGCCCAGGCTGGTCTCAAACTCCTGGCTTCAAGTGATCCTCCCATCTTCACCTCCCAAAGTGCTGGGATTATAGGTGTGAGCCACCATGCCCAGTACAATTAGATGTTTAAAGGGGGAAAACATCAGGATCAAATAAAGAATACTTGCTGGCATTATTTAAAAAACAATATATGCCAGGTGCCGTGGCTCACATCTATAATCCTAGCACTTTGGGAGGCTGAAGTGGGTGGATTGCTCAAGGCCAAGAGTTTGAGACCAGCATGAGCAACATAGCCAGATCCCATCTACAAAAACTAGACAAATAAGCAGGGCATGGTGGTGCATGCCTGTAGTCCCAGCTACTCAGAAGGCTGAGGCAGGAGGATTGCTTGAGCCCAGGCGTTCGAGGTTGTAGTGATCTATGATTATGCTACTGCACTCTAGCTGGGGCCACAGAGTGAGACTTTGTCTCAAAATATAATTTTTAAAAAAAATAAATAAATAAAGATAAACTAATACAACAGGTAAAATGATCAAGAAGAAAAAATTTCACTATTGTCAATGCAACTATTCCCCTAAATTTGTAACGTAAAAACATGTTCTAAAGAAAAAAATGTTCTCAAATTAAACAAAAAGTATTATCAAAGTAACATTCCATTTTTTTTCTAGGAACAATCTAAGCATATGTAATTAAAATTATTTCAATCAATTTAATCAACATGAACGTACAGATAATTTTTACTTCTAATAATAAAAACTCTTTTGGAAAGTGCTGGATCATTCTACATTTAAAGTATGTGGACAAAAAAACCATTTTCTTCTGTATTTCCACTCTAAATGCTATAAAATGCACCATAACAAAGTGATGGAAAGGAAAGATCCAGTGCCAGACTTGTTTTCTTTATGAAGTCATGTCGTCAATACAGCTTACTGTAGCACAGTGCAAACTGGACGCCTTTAGGGATCTCAAAGGAGCTGTGAAAACACGGCCCCCAGCCTTCCCCCAATACTTCATCTAAAGCAAACAGAGGGCAGTGCACTTGACTGACAGGCAACAGATGCAAGATCCCTGAGAGCTCTGCCACCTGCCTGTGATGGAGGGTGGCGGAGGAAGCAGCCCACATCCGCCTCAGCTGAGGGAGCCCAACACAGACCAGAGTGTGGGCCCTGATATGGTGGGCCACGGTGTCAAGAGAAGTGTAGAGCACCCCAGGGATAAGACGATGGGGGATGAAATGACAGTCTCTGAGTAACAAAAACAGAGCTTCCTCAAGCCAAGCTTCAGATGGCCCAGGAAGACCACAAAGATTACTACTGCTGGAGAAAGAAGAGAAGGAAGCTCTCCAGCACCTGCACACCTAGGATTGTTGTGCAGGTAGTTTTAGGATACCTGCATCACTGAAGTGAACGTTCCACAGCCCCAAAATCATCCAAAAGTGTGTAGGTATTAAGATCTGATATTTAAATTAAGGTGCAGAGGGACAGCATCCACACAAAAGCCAAAAGGTACTCTGTAGGCCACCAGAAAGCCAAGCCTAGTGTGACGCTAGAAACAAGACACCTTCCTACACAACCCACACTGAGTTCTTCCAGCAGCTGGAAAAGCAACAGAAGCAGTGAGAGGAGGAGAAGCAAGAGGAGCTGTTCTCTCCACTGCGGAAAGACAGCCCTGGCTTGTGGTGGCCCTGATACGAACCTCCCCAATTAATCCACACACTATGTTGTTGAAGTCTTTTTGTAAATCGGTTGCTCAGAACTCTGAATAAATATTTCTAAAGAAGTAATGTCACAAACAAATCAATGCTACACAGGCTAGTTTACAAAAGTCATTTAACCCACTAAGTACCTGAGCTGCAACACCAAAAGTACTTTCTCTAATATTCTTTAATATCAATGAAGAAATCTCATTTCCCTGAGCGGTCATTAGAGGTGATATTCAAGGCCCAGCGCACTGACTCACATCTGTAATCCTAGCACTCTAGGAGGCCAAGGCAGGAGGATTTCTTGAGGGCGAGAGTTGGAAACCAGCCTGAGCAAGAGCAAGACCTGTTTCTACAAAAAAATAGAAAAATTAGCTGGGTGTGGTAGCATATGCCTGTAGTCTCAGCTACAGGGGAGGCTGAGGCAAGAGGATCACTAGAGCCCAGGAGTTTGAGGTTGCAGTAAACTGTGATGACGCCACTTCACTCCAGCCTGGGCAACAGAGCAAGACTCTGTCTCAAAAAAAATAAGTGACATTCAGGATCAGGAGAAGCCAGGCAAGCAAACATTTGTGGATTCTAATAATTTAGGCCCTCTCTATTTGCATAAGAGAAACACCTCAGTAGGTTTTCAGAGAAGGAGGTGCTGCTTTGCACCCATCATTTCCCAAATATTCCAAGGTAAAAAACAGAGTGCTAGGGGAAGGGATCTTATGGCCTACGTGGACCACGCTGGGACCACCTCTATTGACTTGCTATTCCCTGCATACATGATGAGCTCAGGACCAGAGAACGCTGCAATAGGCATTCATTAGAGTCATGTTTACCCTTCCACTGTCAGCTAAGAACATGTTGTTTTTCTTGCTCTAGAAGAAAGATCTCCCTAGATTATTACAGTCATTACTCACGCTCAGTAAGAGACAATGTACTCCAATTTGGGAAGTATGTGCGAACTGCACACTCCTACATCTCTGAGCAGAGGCCTACCCTCCCTCAATACTTGCACAGAATGACACTTCTTTGGACGTCACAGGGTCTTAAATAAAATGATTTATTGTTCTCCACAACAGAACTGCAAATAAGATCTTAATTAACCTGCTAACAGTTATTGCCTATTTACTAATATCCCAAATTTTATTTTTTCACTTACTACAGAAAGTCTCATGAGACACATTTCCTTGGATCCCATGCTGAGAGGTTTGGTTATTAAAGAAAGCGAAAGAACTTGTCATTTAAAGTAGTTGTAACATCAAAGGTGGTTTCAGAATCCCTAGGGACAGTGACACAAAGCCGCTGTGGGTTATGGCAGGCATAGAGAGTTACAGGGAGTCGTGACTGTGGCCAGACTTGGTGCTCAATTTGTGAATCAGTGTCAGGAGAAACTGGAGTTGGTGAGGGTCAGGCATGGGGCCCTTGAAAATCGCCTATCCAAGGGCCTTTCACAGCAGGGATGAGGCTCCTTCAGGTTCAGCTCCTTCCTCGTGTGGGCTGGCTGGTTCCCTTCCGCTATCCACGGAACCATCAGAACCTCTGCAGTTTCGGTTGCAGCGGCCTCGCAAAGTTCACACACTATGGCACGTAAGCAAGAGTAAGAGGGAAGCAACAAAAAAATGCATACTACAGACGTCCTGAGGTTCCAGAAAGCGGCAGCACTGGGCAAGCATTCCGCCACTCAGTGATGGGCTGTGTCCCAGTCGACAAGGGATTCAGCTCTTTTGGATCTCAAAAATCATCTTTCGACTAGAATAAGTTAGGTTTCTAATGCAGCCTCAAATTTAATCAGCACTTACTTCTTTCAGCATCTATCCTGCTCTAGCCCTCAGGGAGATTACACCTGAATGGGGAGACAACAAAAAGGAAGTAATAAATAAAAGGCTATGAAGCAAGAGACAGCAGCAGGCGAGGTGGCTCATGCCTGTAATCCTAGCACTCTGGGAGGCCAAGGTGGGCAGATTGTTTGAGTTCAGGAGTTCAAGACCAGCCTGAGCAAGATGCCGTCTCTACCAAAATTAGAAAAATTAGCCGGGCATGGTGGCGCATGCCTGTAGTCCCAGCTACTAGGGAGGCTGAGGCAGTCAGATCGCTTGAGCTCAGGAGTTTGAGGTTGCTGTGATCTAGGCTGACGCCACAGCACTCCAGCCTGGGCAGAGTGAGACTTTGTCTCAAATAAAAAGAAAGGCAGGCGTCGGCACATATAAGGATATAGAAAAAGATAGGGGTGGGGGGAAAGGGTGTTTAGAAGAGGCCTTTTAGGCAACAGAAAGGAGCTTTTATTTTATCCTGAGAGCATGGGAAGCCAGCAGATAGTTTCAAGGAGTGAACCAAAATGCTCCAGCTATCATTTCAGGACCAGCAGTGCTGCTACGTGAAGAGGTTAAGAAGAGGACAGAGTGCACGCAGGAGCACAGGGAGGACCGCGCAGCGATCGGGGAGTGCTGCAGGAGGCCTGAACTAAGATGCTCACGGGGCAGGGGTGAGGACCGCGACCTGGAGACAGCTCCTGTACTCAGAACCAACAGGACTTCTGCTGGCCTAGACGTGGGAGAGGAAATGGAGGGGTCACCACTTTGTCTACAGGATGCGGATAATCACAGTGCGGCAGCAATGGTTACACGCAGTCTCTGC